AAGTGACAGGAGCGTAGCAGCAGCGTAGCAGTAGGGTTCTAGTACAGTATCAAATACACTAGTTCTTACGCACTAGGGGGTGCATCCAGCTGCCACAATTCGACACCGTTCTCCCGCCCCCTACCCCCCCTTTCGACTGAGCCTCCGCACTGGGATGCGGCATTTGTGCAAACACGAGGCCGTCTCGGAAGGCATCGTCGGCAACAGTACGCCAAGTAACAGTTGGCAGCCTAGAGGGATAGCCACATATATAAACCTCTGGACAGAGCTCCATTCTCTAAGCTAGAGAGCCCCGCAAACACCTGAACGCCTCACCCTCGGACGCACCCTCTACCCCTGTGTGACGCGGCCACTTCCTTTACGCACCCAGTCCTCTCGGACGGCTGACCAGTTGGTCAGAAGGCTCTGCAGAACGAAGACGCGCCCCACGTGGTCTCGGGAAACGGTGCGACGACAAGGTGCGACGGGCAAAAGGTGAACAGTCAGGATCACGGACCGGGAATACTTGAGTCCAACCGCAGGCGCGACGGCCGAGACACGATCGCCCCTGGACCCCCCCGAGCCGAGACAATCCGGGAACCTCCATCACAATGGCTACTGTCAGCACCTTTCCAATAGCTACTTCGCTTTCTAAGGCATTTATTCATTTCAATCCTTCGACACTTAAACCCGAATCCAAACCCGAATCTAAACCCAGGAAATCCAAGTCCCAGGCCAAGAAACCCAACATAACAGAGCGCAACCTCTCCGAAGATGACTCCCATAGATGCGACGAAGAGTGGGCCAATATCAATAACTTGTTACCCGGCCTGTCAGGCTCTAATGCGTTGCGTTCTCTGGATCCGGAACCCCTTGTTGCGGTAGGAGCTACTAGCCCTTCAGGTTCGCCATATCTAGATATTCCCAGCTGATCCCGGCTAACATGTGTGCAGATGGCGAAGGCGATTTTAGCACTATTTCTCCTCCGCAGATACTACAGACCCAGCAGCCTGGTCAGGAAGGGCCTTGCCTGACTGCAGATATGGACTTAGCCGTAGATGGGTTTAATAGAAGTAGTCTAGGTAGGTGTATTAATGGCGTTGCGGCACTGATTTGCTAATTAATAACAGAATTTGCTTTCGTTCTAGATAATTTTGCAGCCGGAGCAAGCCCCGGCATGGATGATACCCAATCTAGTGGCCAACCGCGAGAATATCAGGATAACAGCCTGGATGCAGCTGGCATGCGCGCATTCTCTGTGGAGAGCACGGCACCCGCGTATAACGGTGAGCAGTCCTCCTGCAGACTTAAGGAACCTATTTTAACGCCCTTTAAAGACATATTTTTAGATTAGAGCGCGCCTTACGATAATATTAAGATAAAGAACCGGCTATCTGCAAAATGTAAGCAGAAGCACGCCTTATTCGCCGATACACCAGCCTCTATGGAAGACTACACCTCGAGACCGGCCTTAGAAAACTCCCGTTTAGCAAAGCGGCGGTCGGCCTAGCTACAGACAGAGAGCCTTGCACCCAGTCCTGTGTGCACGTCAACATTAATAATAACGCCGCCACCGCAGGCCCGCAGCAGCTATTTTTCACCTCTTAGAGTCTGCAATAATCTAAATACTGGTGACGTGGATAGTGGCGGCAGAGATAATGGCGCCGACACTTTAGACCTACCTCGAAGCGACCTCCTCTATTTACAGAATAGCGGTGATAGCAAACAGCACGAAGGTGCGATAGAGCAGGAGCTGCTGCATTCCTTAAGACAATTAATCTCTCCGTCTAAACGAAGAGCAGGCGATTAAGACTTCAGTCTGTATTTAGAGGAGGGTGAAGATAACAGCGACGCCAGCGATAGTGAAGTTAAGGGGAGCCATAAGGGTGAACTCGGTCCTAACAACGCATCAATAACAACTTTTCGGCGATGTGAACCAAGCAATCGCCGTTCCCGGAAGAAGGGGTGCAGCACGTTACGAGCCACTCTTAGACTACAGGAATAGAGCGCGATACGTATAAAAACGTCTCGACAAGTACTTTTACCCCAATCACAATATCTGTCTAGGCCTAGAACGGATAGGGCGACTCAGTCTAGCTCCCTATAAACATCCTCTCCAAGAACGAAGGCTGTTAGTGAACCTAATAATAGACTTAGCACTAACACAGCCTACCAGATAATAGATGTTGCTTGTTACCCTATGCCAAAGGCCTCGTCGATTGTAACAGCAACTGTTAGTTGTAAAAAGTCGAAACTACCTCTAGACCTAATAGCGCTTGCCACCAGCATTCTTGGAGAAAGAGGCCAAGTTATCCAGATAACCCAGGTATCGCAAGATTCATGGTTGTTACTAGGATACTAATCCGACGATAGTGCATCAGATTCACGTCCTCGTCAGAGCCGGACGGTGCTTAGTGCAGACCAGAGCAATCCTCACAGCAATACTGCGAGTTATAACGCCGACCATGCAGACAGCCACATAAGCGAAGAGGATGAGGACGACGATGGAGACGAAGACAAGACGGAATACAGGCCTTATGCTATAAGCCCTGATCCGAGGTTCAACAGAGGCGAAATGCGCTTCCGTCCACGAACGCGTGTATTATGGTTAGAGTCGGACAAACTGCAGTTACTCACGTACAAGAACAACATGGCTATAGAGTGGAAGAAGATATTTAAACTCTTCCCAGATCGGACCCCAGGCGCAATACGGACACGCTACTACATGCTGCAAGGGAAATCATCTATAGCTACGACAAGTACGCACTCTCTTACTGCGCATTCTATTAACCTAAAGCCTACCACTAGAGGTAGACGGAGCCCCACTACAAGCGCCCGAAGTTAAAGCCTTTAATACCCCCAAACTCCAACGCTGGAAGGACGTGAAAGTCAGGAGAGTGAGTTGCTTAAAGCATCGATCGCCTGTACTTTCAGGAACGCTCTGCCTCTTAAACAGCGTTTGTCTTACGAGACCACTCTGGAGACCTGTAACGTACGCTTTGCTGAGGAGATTTCGAGGTGAAAAAAGTTAAGACTGGCTCTCCTATACCTTAGCAGGAGGCCGCCGGCTATCGCCCTTTGTAAATTCCTTCCAAGGCCGAGCTTTTCCAGTTAACTGCTCTCTAATACAACTTTAGACCAAGGTTCCAGTCTTCGCATCTATTACATCTACTGCTTCTGTTGTGTATACCATACTACCCTTCTATACCTTAATTTCCTTTGGACGATGCCGTGCCCGTAAATTTTTATACTGGAGAGTACGATATAAACATCGAATGTAGGGTGGGATATCTCGTGCTTAGCAAAGTCTGCCTGCGTCACCGCTGGGTATACAACCCTGTCGCCCGCTATCTCCTTTATGGGGCCGGGAGATCAGCCCGAGATCTTCGAGCTAGCCTTCGAGCTGACTCTGGAGCTGGCGGTTGTTTAAGACTAAGTGCCAGAAACGGGATCCACAGTGGGCACCAGAACGGGACCCTTTAAAACTTGGGCACAGCCGTACCTTACATCCGATACCCTGCAGAATCCCGGCTTGGCTCTGGCACCGGGAGCAACTCTTAAAGCGCCCAACTGCTACAGTTGGGCGTGTTAGTCTTTCAGATAGAGGGATCTTAATTATTCCAAGGATTGCTTGGCGATTCTAATGCGCCAGCGTTATAGAGCCCATTTTAGCTCCCTCTAGACGCCCACCTTCCGCTAGCAACGGTGGCACTAACCCTATTAGGGATTAGTACGATATTCGTACCGTTCTGAAGCGAGCTTCTTTTTGTACTGGGGCAATTGTCCACAATTTTATACTAGTACTGTAAGGAAGCCCGTTTAGGATCTTTTTATACTGGTAGATTCTTAGTAACAGTACTAATTATACATTTATCGTAATAGTCTAATATTTGTACTGGTCCTTTATGTGCGCACCGTTGTAATAGTACAGCTTTGGGATAGTACGGAGCCTGTACTAGTCCCTGTTAAGCAAGTAATTATATCTATTAACTGTGTGGCTATAGATAGACGGGGCGCCTTATATATATATATATCTATTCCTATCCCCTATTACGTTGTTTCAGCCAGCTGCCGTGATATTCAACACTTCCATATAATGGCTACTTTTACCAAGAAGAGTGCCATCAACTATTTATCACGGCTCTGACAGACCCTATTAAAACCTTCAAAAACCTTTAAGGCAAAAAGAAGGAAAGGGTGCCTATATATCCTGCCTCTGCTCGAAACTAATAATTCGTGCATATTACTTAATACCTAGCCCTCTCCAAAACTATTTAAACCTGTCTCGTACAAGAGGCTTAGTGAACCTATCAGCGATTTGTGCCGTAGTTAGAACATACTTCAGCTTAACTATTCTAGCGTCTTAAACTTCTCCTTGCTACTTGCGCTGGATTTCTATATACTTTATGCGTGAGTGGTACTATAGGTTTAAGGATAAAGCGATGGCTCCCTAGTTATCGCTATATATAATTATCGCGGCTTTTCCTTAGCCTATATTTAGCTTATTAAGAAGTCTTCTTAACTAGATTACTTCCTTAGTTGCTTGCATCTATCCTATAAACTCTACTTTATAGGTTAATAGAGCAATAACGCTCTAGCGCTTAAACTACTAGCTAATTGCTCCGCTCCTAATATTAAACAGATATCTAGCTGTTAATCGTCTTATATTGTAATATCTAGCCTAGTCTGCGTCTATAAAACCCTTTAATATCTAGAGGTAACCTTTATATATAAGTCTAAGATCCCTTATACCTTTAAGATACTATAGAATGCGTTAAGCAAGCTTTATATATTATAGCCTAGGATTTGCTAGATGCTGGCTTACTATAGAAACTATATATGCAATATCTCCTCTAGTTCTAAGTATAATATATATTAAAGATCCTATAATATATTAGTATTCCGCTTTTTAATCTAGAGGGCAGTTATATTCTAGAATATTTTCTAATAGTAGTAAGGTTTCTATCGGCGTGCTAATAGGAGCGTAGTTATTAATTCCGAACTAATAAACAACCTTATTAATATAAGCTTCTTAACTTAGGTATAGTATTCTATTCTAACAGTCTTGCTGGATAGATATTCTAAGGTAGTAGCTATACGGTCTAAGGTCCGTTATTTAGAAATAGTTTCTTAGGCCTCTCTTAATCCTCTTAATTTCTGTAATACTTAGTCTAATAATTAGAAGGTTATTAATATATACCGCGATATATATATTACTTTATATAAAGATTCTAAGGTCGGTATTAATTAGTTTAAAGCTAAAACTATATAAAATGTTTATAAAGGTCTAATACTAGATATAAGAAGCTTGCTTTAGGCCGTAGAGTGCTTTCTAGAGTTTACAGACCCTTAGTATACTATCCGCTATATAGTATAGCTATTTAATATAAATCTTATAGTCTATATTACTATATAGAAAGGCTATCTTAATATCTATTTATTTAATTTTAAGGCCTAGGGTGGCCGCAATTATAAATAGAGCCTTATAGCTTATTAGCTTAATAATAAAGGCGAACGTTTTATTATAGTTAACGCCCTCTTCTTAAGTAAAGCCCCTAACCACCTATCTGCTTTTATAGCAGATAACTTCTCTATATAGTCCTTACTTAAGCTTAAAGACCTATTTACTACTAAAAACCTGTTAATTTCTAGAAGGGTTAACAAGCTCCTATATTTTATTCTATTTAAGCGAGTTAGCTTTTTTAAGTATTGCCCTCTTCTATTTAGGCTAGCTTATATTATTTTTTGCTTAGTAAACAGTTTTTAGTTTAAAGGGTTCTATTTTTTCTATAGCTACTATTAAGAATATTAGAAGTATATTACCTTTAGGTATATTTATTAGCGCGAGTTTTTCTGCGCTATTATTAGATATATCTAATACGGCCTGCAGAATACAGATTCTAAGTTTAGGGTAATATTCTAAGGCTTTTTACCTTACTTTATAAACTGGGCAATTAAGCTAGAGTCTTAGATATTATTGCTATTCTTCTAAGGCTTAGTTATATAGAGTGTTATTCTATTACTAGCCGCTATTAGGCAGTAGATTATCTCTTTCTAGAGTATTTAAGAATAATCTAAAAGTATTATTACTCCTAAAAGGTAATAAAGTCCTATCTCCCTATTTAGTAACTAGCTGCGAGTTATTATTACTTAATTAGGACGGCGTTCCCTTTTCTAAGTTATTATTACTTAGTTAAGATAGTATTTATAAGTCTTTATTACTTATCTAAGATAATATTTACGGGTTCTTAGTACCCGCCCGAGGTAGTATTTACAAGTCCTCGGTGCCCGTATAAGGTAATATTTGCAAGTTCTTATTGCTTATTTTAGAAAAGGCTTGCTCTAGTACTACTATAGATGCGTAATATCTAGAGGCTGGTATAGATACTTGCTATATACTTACTAATAGTTGGTTTAGTAGCCCTACTATTTTACTCCCCTTTATAGCAGCAGCTATTACCTTAGGTAATTGTTTAGCTTTTATATCCTGTATAATCTATATAGAGGGAGTTATAAGGGCTTCTTAAAATTTAGTATTTAGAGTTCTAATAATCCTTTTATCTTCTAGTAGGATATAGTAGTTAGTATTTCCCTTATAGCCTAGTAAGATATATAGTTTTATTTACAGCTTAGTTAGCTTCTTCCTTTGCTTTAATAGAATTAGGTATTCCCCTCTTAACCTAATTACTCTTAGTTATAATAAATTAGGCTTCTTGCTGTACTATACCTAATACAGTATTATCTAAAGCTTTAATAAGGCCGATTAGTTGGAAAGATATACTACTATTCGAGCTATTTCTAGCTAGAACTTTAATAGCAGCTTTATATATACTAGTATAGGTCCAACTTAATTATATATTATTTTATAGGCTCTTTTAGCTATACTATTCTGCTAGTGCTAGTCTATACCTGTAACCTTAGCTTAAATTGCTTAAAAAAAAAGAATAAACTTTATTTCTTCTCCTACTTACTTAGCAATCTAATTAAGCCGTATTTATCTATACTTTTGTTTAGAGCGCTTATTATAGTTAAGAAAAAAGCGTAGCAATTTAATAATAAATCCCTATTATTATAGTATAGGGATAACTTTAATCTAGCCAGTTAAGTTATTAATAATAGTTAGCCAGTAGCAACTACTATTAAGACCCTTATTAAATAGTCCTGCGATGTCTATATAGAGGAGTTCTATTAGATATTCTCCCTTATAACCTAAGCGGTTATATAGCTTTTTAGTTATTCGCCCCTAAAGGCATAAATTATATAGTTTTTATAGCTCTATATCTTAAATACTATAGGCTTGCTTTTTAAGCTATTATAAGTTTATATTGCTTAGGTAAGCCAGTTAGTTATACTAAAGGGTTAACTATAGGCTAATATAGTAGGCTAGAAAGGAGAGGTTTATTTATAGGTTAAGTATATAAATACTATAGTATTTACTCGCAGTATATAAGCTCTTCTTACTTAACTTATTATAGATACTTGCGCCCTTACTTAAGAACTTAACTTTAGCCCTATATTTAAGTAACTAGAGTATAGATATAAGGTTTGCGTGCGCAGATAGAATAAAAAGGATATTATTAAGAATAAGCTATTTTCTTCTACCCTATACATTATATAGTATATTTATTATACCTACTCCTAAGAAAGATATAGATATATTAACGCTCTAAAGTGCAGGCCTATAATATATACCTATCTAAATAAACTTTAAGGCGTTGTTATATATATGCTAGGTATAGCCACTATTAATAATCCAGGCGTCGCGAATTAGAAGCGTTCTTATAGTTATTATCGCGAGGGTATAGGTAATTACGGCGCAATTACTTCTAATATCCTTCCTAAATACTGTATTAATATCTTCTTCTATAGCCTTTATTACTATAAAGGTAGGCTTTTTTAGGTTTTTTAGGCCACCTGTATTATTATTCTTATTATTAGTAGAGTACTATCTTTTTAATAGTTTCCGACTATTAGCTTGCAAGCCCTATACCCTTACCTTATATCCCTTTTTATCTTTCCCTT